GCAGCATCTTCAACATTTTAATCTCTTTTTTGGTCATTTTTCGGTCTGCATACATAATTTATACGTAGTGCAGTGCTCCACGACGCTCAATTATGTTCAATTTTTATGCCACCGTAAAGAAGTCATAGTTTTTGTCGTGTCTGTCTGTCTCTCTGTTTGTCTGTTTGTCCGCAAACAGTTTAACATTGTCCATAACTTTTGAGTGGGCGAGGCTATGATTTCATATTGCATAGGTTTATTTCTTGTGACGAGATCTTTCTTTGGATAACCAAAAACCTTGACCTTGTAGATTTCCATACTTGTGAAAAAAAACTTTAACCTTGGCCATAACTTTTGAACGTAAGGGATAGGGCTTTCATACTTCATATATGTAATCCTTGTGAGAAGGCTCTTCATTGGATATGAAGATCCTTGACCCTTTGACCTTAACCTTTGAGCTTGACCTACTTTAAAAAAGCAAATCTTGACCATAACTTTTAAAGAGTTAGGGCTAGTGCTTTCAAACTTTACATATTTGATTCTTATGACAAGACTTTTCATTTGATAACAATAACTTTTACCCTTTGACCTTGACCATGGAGTTTAACCTACTTTTTAAGAAAAATTTTTAAATTTTACTTTGGCCATATCTTTTGAACAGTTGACACCAGAACTTTTATACTTCACATATGTAATGTTTGTTAAAAGACCTTTCACTGGATACCAACAACTTTGACCCTTTGATCTTGACCTTGTAGATTTTCGTACTTGTGAAAAACTTTAACCTTGGCCATAACTTTTGAACAGTAAGAGATAGGGCTTTTATACTTCATATATGTAATCCTTGTGAAAAAACCCTTCATTGGATATGAAGATCCTTGACCCTTTGACCTTGACCGCTGATATTGATCTACTTAAAAAAAGCAAACCTGACCATAACTTTTAAAGACTTAGATCTAGTTCCTTTCATTCTTTACATATTTGATCCTTATGACAAGACCTTTTATTTGATAACAATAACTTTGATGCTTTGACCTTGACCTTGGAGTTTGACCTACTTTTTAAGAAATTAAACGTTAACCATAAGTTCTGAACGGTTAGGGCTAGGGCTTTCATGCTCTACATAAGTATTTTATGTGGCAAGACCTTTCATTTGATACTACATTGTACATGTAATTACATTTACCTTTTGACCTTGACCTTGGAGATTTTTGTACTTATTAAAAACCTTTAACATTAGCTTACTTTCAAATTTCACAATTGTTTTCCAGTGAGAATACCCTTCTTTTGGTACCAATTAATTAAATTTGCATTTAATAAAAGCTTAATCTTTGCTATGTTGCCATACGGGGGCATCAGTGTTTTACAAACACATCTTGTTGGCTGTGTTTTTATGCGTTTATCATTTATAAACGGATATATAAAACAGTCGTATACCCTCCAATTTAGTTCGAAATTTCTCCCATTGACGTTGCATGAATACCTTAGCAGCAGGTAAAATATCATAATTTTTTTTTGCGCCACAATTGTGCAATTTTCAATTTTAATAAAACAGTCTTTGTGCTGTAAACGTGTCAAAATGTAGCATGCTCCGAGAAGCAAGTTTTATCAAAATAAAAAAGCTGTATATTTCTCAATAATCACCGGAGATCACCAAATTCTTGTTTCTTTATTGGAAAAAGGTGAAGATTTTATCTGGAAAGTTTGACCGGTTTCGTGGAAATAGCACGCTCACAATAGAACTTGTTCGCGAACTTTTCTAACATCCCTCGTACATTGTCAAAACTAGAAGACATTAGTCCAAACCAGGAAAATTCTGTTTCATTGGGAGGGGGGGGAGTGGGTGTGAGGTAGGGATGTTAGGATCCGATTTCTTTTTTTATGAAGCTCTTCCACTTACTCTTCTTTCTTTGAGTACACTGTAACGTGCCTGTTGAAGGGAGGGGGGGGGGGGGCTAAACTTGTTTCACTTTGTTCAATGCCTTCATTAATTACGTCTATCTCGGCAAAAATAGTGTTTATGTGTGTGTGTGGGGGGGGGGGGCTAAGCTTCCTAACCCCCCCCCCCCCCCCCCCTTCCCGACATCCGTGGAATAAATCACAGTTGTAAAAACCAAGTAATAAATAGGTATGTGTTTTATGCTGTTGAATTTAGAACCGGATTCATGATCAAAATTCCACGACCTGGGTCAGTTTTTAACGGACTAGGGTCTAAATTCAACATCTTAATTAGGTATCAGTATTCAACGTTTTCAACCCCCGTCAAAATTCAACGTTACACCGGCACTAAAGAATTTTAAATATTTGATTTCTTTTTAAAAATTATCCATATACTCGTTTATGTCTAAGTCTTCTCTCGAAGAAAAAAAATATAACATAGATTTCTTTACATTTTTTCAGGTTCGGTAGTTTTCGTGAATTTCCGACTTCTTAGTCGACTGGCCACGCTTCATGTTTTTCACGCACGAGCGCCTTTGCACACAGTCCTGTAAAAATAACTTCAACTACAGGGTACAGGGAATGTTCGATTCAATACTGGATTTTGTTATGTCCACGTGAAGTTGTACATGTGAGGAGCCGCTTGTTCACTGGTCAACAGAAATTCAGATAAAGACAAGTGAGTATTGTACAATATATATAAAGATATACGTCAAGTCCATTAAAAGTAGATTCAGCTACACCGGTATACGGAATGTTCGACTCGGAATGCTCGAGAGTGAGTCGTTTTTTTTTCAAGTCCATGTGATATTGTAAAAACACGTTTTCCTGGCTTTTTTACGATTTTTATATTTTAAATCCAGGTAGACGGCAGGTAACTATTGTACAATTTATACATAATTAACTTTATTAAACTTTGTAATTCAGTGAAAACATTTTTTTGCTAATGAACAGGTTGGGCACACACCCCCAAATGGTCATTTAACCCCCGTTTGGTGGTCAATCGCCCATATCGGCGTCTTTATTAACCACCAATTGGGAGAGAAAAATCGTTTTGTTCAGTTCTCTGGAATGACGTGAAATGGCGCATAATTTCAACGGGGGGGGAATAAAACTTTTTTAGATATATTTTCTAAACTTTGAACAAAAAAAATCAGAATTTCAACGCGGGTATTTTTGCGCAGTGTCGTTCAAATATTTGACAAAATCGTCACCTATGTAAACAAGTGTAACGTTTCTGTGTTTTAACTAAAAAAAAAAATTCCCTCCATCTCGCGCGTAGTTGCACCTATCAATCGTGTTTATCACTTCATATATCTGCCATCCGGGCAACCAATCAATTATCTTAACCAATTAAAAATGACGATCTTTTCCGAACTTGGGTCAAAAGACTGATTTAACTACGGAGGCCCATTAATGTTAATTTTCAACAAGTAAAATTGGGGAAAGGGTAAGAATTCGCTTTCATTTCGTTTATTTCGTATGCAATGGTTTTATCTTTTACAAAATTACGATATGCACTATGCAGTGAATTCATGATAAAATAATCTCTCCAAAACTATAATCTTGGAATAAAAACAAGAATAATTGCAAAATGTCACTTTGTAAATTTTTTATTCAAAAATATTTAATAAATGTAGTAGATACATCATAGATATACACACTAAACCACAAAGGGTCGCACAGAAATCGTAACTTCATCCTAAAAGAGAATAAAGAATAAATGTTGCATTCAAATGTAGGAAAAAATTAATATTATAGCAATAAGTGCCCACCATACGAATAAGATACGAGGAGCTCGTGTTTAACGGGATTTTATAGAGGTTTATATAGGCGCAGATTGAAAGATCATTTATAAAGTTACTTCTCTAGACTAACATTTCTTGTTTAAATATATTTTTTACCGAACTATACACAACAAAATAATTTTTCGTAATGTTTGAGCAAATAGTTCGGCCGTCACGAACAACTATGGGTTTCGTTTTTACGAAGTTGCAAAGAAATTCCACATGGAAAATTGACTAAATTGTATTAAATGGGCGAGGAATGTGTTAATTAAAATTCTCCAATGCCTGAGTAAATGCGCTTTTGCTTTATTTTAATAAGAATTGGATTTGAATAAAAAAGACCACCATTTGGTAGGTAAAAAAGACGCCGATATGGGCGATTGACCACCAAACGGGGGTTAAATGACCATTTGGGGGGTTGTGCCAAACCTGATGAAAGAAACTAAGGGAAAACTGGAATTACGTAAAAAAAATAATTTTGATTTTGTTTTATTTGTTTTGAGATTTTTTTTCTCTTGTCCAAGAAATTCCTATTCCAGGTAAATTTGTTAAGTTAGTGTAAAGTGGACCGCGACCCCTCTTTCCCCACACAGTGATTCTTTGGAATACTCTCCCACACTCAGTGGTGGCAGCGGCCTCTCTGGACCAGTTCAGAACTCTGGTCCCAAGTTATGTTCAATAACTCTTATATTCAGAAATGGTCTTTGTCTGTAAACAAATCAGCTAGAGTACATTGTAAATATATATAGATATACACTTTTTTATGCACAATGTAAATTGTTTCCTAAAGCACTTATTTAATTTAAATTTTTCATGGCATTTAGTTTTTAATTTTTATTTGTAATTTTTTTTCTATCCTACTTTTTGATTTAATTTTAGAGTTCCGTTTGCGCAGGGCCAGCGTATAATCATCATGTTTGATGGAACGCTGTATAATGTAGATGTAGATGTAGATATGATCATCTCACATTTGAAAATTTTCTTAGATCCGCGCACGATGTAGAAATTTTTGTCTACTGTCTGTTTAAACATATATCTGTACATATACAATATTAATACATGCACATGTTTTCAATTCATTCTAACATTATGCATGTTATGATTAAAATTATCTTAAACATATGATCAATGAAGGAAAATTTTTGGATTAACCAAAAAAAAGCAAATGTGGAGAAAAAAAATATGCAATACATGACTTTAGCAAAGATAATCTAAAAGAAAGACTTGCATGAGAGAATGCTTTTTTGTTTACTCTGTATACAAATTATATATTTAATTGTTGATCGTGGGGCCAATGTCCGGTGTGAAATAGCATCGGGATCGTAATACTAGAACGCCATTTTTATGACGTCCGTGGCGGGAAATGAGAGGTTGTTCAGGGCTAGTGAGACGATGTTTTTATCAGCCATATGATACTATTTATAGGTAAATCTGTTTTTATTTTAAAAAAGCTCAAGTAAAATGAGTTTTTAGCTCTACTGGTCCGAGATCAGGAGCGCTTATCGCCTTGAGTCATACCGTGAGGTAGACCCCTATACAGGGTCTTTGTCTGTAAAGAATATTTTAGAAAAAAAAGTATTCTTACAGTTTTCATTTTTTAATGTGTCCAACGTCTTTTGAAGTGTCCGTTCATCTACTTCCTTGTAAAATACATTTTTAGGGACAGTTTTCATTTTTTTCTTTCATTGAACATTGTTGAAAAGTTCAAAACTGAATAAGAAAATTATGTAGCAGTTCACCCTCATTTTTCAATTTTACAAAAGAAGGTCACAGTTTTTTTTAAAACATTTAATTTCTATGAAATATTCAAGTATCAGTTTATCCAATGTTGAAATAACAATGCACCCAAGGTGTGGATCTTTTTTCCCTCCAATAAAAAAAGGGGGGGGGGGTTCCCAACCCAGTAAAGTTGACAATCCAAAAAAAATTTTTAACTGAAATCCTCTTTTGGTGGTGGTGGTGGTGGTGGGGTGGGGGGTCATTGACTTTTCAAACTTCTTACCAATGACTTTTCATACTATTCCACACAGATCTTTTTGTAATGAAGCAGTCAGCCCTGCATGCAAATCTAACTCTTCATTTACATTTTTACGGTGAAACAGATTTATAGAAAGTGCCAGGGATTTTGCTACCTTATTGTTCATTAAAGATGTATCTGTTTAGTTTACAATATATTTATAGCCATGGGGAATAAGAAACAATTTGCTGTAAATGTCAATTCTTTTTAGCTTACCTGAGCCATAGGCTCAAGTGAGCTTTTCTGATCACAATTTGTCCGGCGTCCATCTGTTAACCTGTCTGTCCATTTGTCTGTAAACCTTTCACATTTTCAACTTCTTCTCAAGAACTGCTGGGCCAATTTCAACCAAACTTGCCACAAAGCATCCTTGGGTGAAGGATTTCCACTCATAATGTGAAGCCACAAATTTGTTCAAATGAAGGGCCGCACCCTCATTCAAGGGGAGATAATTGGGAATTAATGAAAATTTGATGTTATATTTTAAAAATCTTCTTCTCAAGAACCACTGTGCCAGGAAAGATGAAACTTATGGGGAAACATATCCTCAGGTAGTGTAGATTCAAGTTTGTTAAATTCATGACCCCCAGGGGTAGGGCAGGGCCACAATGGCCAACCATAGTTTTACATAGACATATATAGGAAAATTCTTTAAAAATCTTCTTCTCAAGAATAGCAAAGCCAGAATTGATCATATTTATATGGACACATTCTCAGATAGTGTAGATTCCAGTTTGTTCAAATCATGACCCAAGAGGTAGGGTGGGGCCACAATGGCCGACAAACTTTTACTTAGAAATATATAGGGAAATTCTTTAAAAATCTTCCTCTCAAGAATAACAAAGCCAGAATTGATCATATTAATATGGAAGCATCCTCAGGTAGTGTAGATTCAACTTTGTTCAAATCATGACCCAAAGGGGTAGGATGGGGCAACAATGGCCAACAAGGTTTTAATAGAAATATATAGGAACATTCTTTAAAAATCATCTTCTCAAGAATAGCAAAGTCATGACTGGTCATGTGACAACTTTTGGATTTCAACTTTTCAATAATAAGCCAATTTTTACTTTTTCCTAGCCACAGTTCTCAGGTGAGCGATGTGGCACATGGGCTTCTTGTTTAAGTGTTTGTTATTATCGTGTTATAATGTAAAGAAAATATTTTCTGGTTTGGAACCTAGTTGTAAGAATCATAGGTAACTTTTATTTTGATAACTTTTCCTCTGATTTTAGGAGTAGTCTCCCCTGTTAAAGAATATCCATAATAAACATTGCCGGATGCTGCCTGGACATCAACAGAGAGTTTTTACGCTGTATTTCTACCAATCACCACTGTAACCTTTGTTATGTTTCGCAGACAGGTAAGGATTTATTTATTGTATATTTTTTAACGTCCTCGAGAATTTTTTACTCCTAATTGGAGAGGCCACCATTTGTCGGTGGAGAACTGCCATTTTTAGCTCACCTGAGCTGAAAGCTCAAGTGAGCTTTTCTGATCACATTTTGTCCGGCGTCCGTCTGTCTGTCCGTCTGTCTGTCCGTCTGTCCGTCTGTCTGTCTGTAAACTTTTCACATTTTTGACTTCTTCTCAAGAACCACTGGGCCAATTTCAACCAAACTTGCCACAAAGTATCCTTGGGTGAAGGGGATTCAAGTTTGTTCAAATGAAGGGCCACGCCCTCATTCAAGGGGAGATAATTGGGAATTAATGAAAATTTGGTGGCATATTTCAAAAATCTTCTTCTCAAGAACCACTGTGTCAGGAAATATGAAACTTATGGGGAAACATCCTCAGGTAGTGTAGATTCAAGTTTGTTCAAATCATGACCCCCGGGGGTAAGGTGGGGCCAAAATGGCCGACCAAAGTTTTACATAGAAATATATAGGAAAATTCTTTAAAAATCTTCTTCTCAAGAATGACAAAGCCATAATTCATCATATTTATATGGAAGCATGCTCAGGTAGTGTAGATTCAAGTTTGTTCAAATCATGGCCCCCGGGGGGTAGGACGGGGCCAAAATGGCCGACCAAAATTTTGCATAGAAATGTATAGGAAAATTCTTTAAAAATCTTCTTCTCAAGAATGACAAAGCCATAATTCATCATATTTATATGGAAGCATGCTCAGGTAGTGAAGATTCAAATTTTTTCAAATCATGGCCCCCGGGGGTAAGGCGGGGCCAAAATGGCCGACCAAAGTTTTACATAGAAATATATAGGAAAATTCTTTAAAAATCTTCTTCTCAAGAATGACAAAACCATAATTCATCATATTTATATGGAAGCATGCTCAGGTAGTGTAGATTCAAGTTTGTTCAAATCATGACCCCGGGGGGTAGGGCGGGGCCAAAATGGCTGACCAAGGTTTTACATAGAGATGTATAGGAAAATTCTTTAAAAATCTTCTTCTCAAGAATGACAAAGCCATTATTCATCATATTTATATGGAAGCATGCTCAGGTAGTGTAGATTCAAGTTTGTTCAAATCATGACCCCTGGGGATAGGGTGGGGCCAGAATGGCCGACCAAAGTTTTACATAGAAATATATAGGAAAATTCTTTAAAAATCTTCTTCTCAAGAATGACAAAACCATAATTCATCATATTTATATGGAAGCATGCTCAGGTAGTGTAGATTCAATTTTGTTCAAATCATGGCCCCCGGGGGTAGGGCGGGGCCAAAATGGCCGACCAAAGTTTTACATAGAAATATATAGGAAAATTCTTTAAAAATCTTCTTCTCAAGAATGACAAAGCCATTATTCATCATATTTATATAGAAGCATGCTCAGGTAGTGTATATTCAAGTTTGTTCAAATCATGACCCCTGGGGGTAAGGTGGGGCCAAAATGGCCGACCAAAGGTTTACATAGAAATATATATAATATATATAGGAAAATTCTTTAAAAATCTTCTTCTCAAGAATGACAAAGCCATAATTCATCATATTTATATTGAAGCATGCTCAGGTAGTGTAGATTCAAGTTTGTTCAAGTCATGGCCCCCGGGGGTAGGACAGGGCCAAAATGGCCGACCAAAGGTTTACATAGAAATATATAGAAAAATTCTTTAAAATCTTCTTCTCAAGAAAGGCAAAGCCAAAATTCATCATATTTATATGGAAGCATGCTCAATTAATTTAGATTCAAATTTGTTCAAATCATGACCACCATGGGTAGGGTGGGGCAAAAATGGCCGACCAAAATTTTTAACGATATATATAGGAAAATTCTTTAAAAATCATTTAAAAAAAAATAGCAAATCCATGATTGGTTATGGGACTACTTTTTGATTTAAATTTACAATAAAAAGCCATTTTCTACTTTTTCCTACCCTTAGTGCTCAGGTGAGCGATGTGGCCCATGGGCCTCTTGTTGTCCCTTGTTCTACACTCAGGGCCATTGGGCAGGGAAGGGTCTTTTTTGTGCAAGCACCTACTGTGACATGGAACCTCTGTTTAAGGTTTTATGCAAGGAAATAGCCAATCAAAACAAACTTAGTCAAATGAAGTTCCATATACATGGGGACAATTTATTTTTTATTTTTTCACTTTTTCGGCAACTTTTTTTTTTAGGTCTACAGTTTTAATTTTGGACTCATGTCTTAGGAATATCATATCTTTAGCAGAATTGTGCCAATGAATTAAAGGGAACTCTTTTTTAGGTGCACGTGATGCAACTTCCTGGATGGTGTGTAGGCTGTTCCTCAACATCTGAAACCCACGTGTATTTCAGGGTACCCGGTAGGTATGTTTAATCTCAATTTTTTTCTTAAAAGCCGCATAAGGGGTATTTTCTCTGATCTCTAATTTTTATCAAAGCATTAATCATTATTTTCTATTTTATGAATTATCTGCTGAGAGTCTAGTTAATTAATTAATTAAATCAAAGCTATATATAGTAACATATTGTGAAATTATTTCCTTGTGTGAGACCTTAAACAGTCTCAACCAAAGGACTGGTCTCCTTGTGGGATTTGAACCTGAGACTTAAGGATCAAATTCTTACTTTGCGACTCTAGAGCAGACGCTCTCTAGGGCAGACGCTCTAACCACTGTGCCAAGCGGGCGACCAAAGGAATTTGGAAGTATCCACAGGGAGAGTGAAAATTCAAGTTTGTTCAAATCATAACCCCTCCACCACCCCCCTCTCCCCCTGAGACCACTTCTATAAATAACCCCCTCTCCCCCTGAGACCACTTCTATAAATAACCCCCTCTCCCCCTGAGACCACTTCTATAAATAACCCCCTCTCCCCCTGAGACCACTTCTATAAATAACCCCCTCTCCCCCTAAGACCACTTAAACTATAAATAACCCCCTCTCCCCCTGAGACCACTACCACATAAATAATTTATTCTATAAATAACGCTCTGATAGTGCCCCCCCCTTCTTTAACATTGTCCCTCTATGACCACTTCTATAAATAAACTTTATAATACTGAACTGATATCTGCTTTTTCCCTAGCAAAAGTGCTCATATCAGATAAATACATGTATCCTCTTGTTTGCTTTTGAAGTAATTTTCCACTTTGTTGTTGATTTAGATGATGAACCATCTACTTCCTTTGAAAACAGGTGTCCATACAGATTCACAAAGATCCAATGTTGAGTATCCATAAGCCTTAATCAATGAGTACAGTTTTATGTATCCTACTTTCAAAAAAATTCTAGTAAATACTTATAATACATTTTGATGTTGATTTTTATAATATGATCCATTTAGTTTATGATATTTCAATTCTATCAAGATTTATTGGTCCAAAAGAAAAAAAAACAATGATAGTCTCTTAACAAACATAAGTGTTCCTTGTCCATGTTCATTATGTTTGAATCAGTACCAGGCACCATTGTAGTTTTCTACTTCTTTTCAGCCCAGGAAAAGCTGTCAAGTTGACAGGACTTTCCACACTGTTCCAGGTATCAGTTTAGATTAGAACAGTCAGCAGTAGACATAGCCAGCTTCATCACAGGTAAGTCTTCAGAATGGTATGTGTAGCAATTCTTATGTGCTGTCCTGAACTGAAGCTTCAGTTCTCTGCATGGATTCACAGGGCAGGCCATCTTTGTACTCTTCTGCCCCTTGTGAGGAATGTTCCTTCTTAGCTCACCTGGAGGAAGTCGAGATGAGCTTATGCTATACCCCCAGCATTGGCGTTGACGTAAACATTGGTGTACCAGGTTAAAGGTCTAGGAGCAAGTCCATTCCCATGTAACTACTGTAAAAGCACAAATATTTGTGGGGGATTAAATTACAATTATTTCATTGAAAACAAATATTAAAGAAATTAAATCCAACACAAAATTTTACATGACTATATATTGAATAGGGTTACTTTCAAAACAACGAAATTAAATGCCTTACCTGAACCAAACTTGCATGGATGGACACTACCAGACTTGCTTCGGATGCTGGATCTGTCCTACATATTTCAGATGAGTGACCAGGTTATTTCCAAGAAACTATAAGCCCTACCTGGACCAAACATGCATGGATAATACATCTTAGGATGGACAATCAAGACTTGCTCAGGATGATGGATCTGACCTAAATTTTCAAACAAGTTACTAGTTAGCTCACCTGAGTCAAAAGCTCAAATGAGCTTTTCTGATCAAAATTTGTCCGTTGTCTGCTGTTGTCATTGGTGTCAATGTCGTAAACTTATCACATTTTCATCTTCTTCTCAAGAACCACTGGGCCAATTTCAACCAAACTTGCTACAAAGCATCCTTGGGTAAAGGGGATTCAACTTTGTTCAATTGTAGGGCCACACCCTTTTCCAAGGGGAGATAATAATGAATTAGTGAAGAAATAATGGCATTTTTAGTTCACCTGAGCCGAAGGCTCAAGTGAGCTTCTCTGATCATATATTGTCCGGCGTCTGTCCAGCTGTCTGTCTGTCTGTCCGTCTTTCTGTCTAGCTGTATGTAAACTTTTCACATTTTCTACCTCTTCTCAAGAACCGCTGGGTCAATTTCAATCAAACTTGGCACAAAGTATCCTTGGGTAAAGAGAATTCAAGTTTGTTTAAATGAAGGGCCAATTCCTTTTCCAAAGGAATCTGACCTATATTTTCATTACAAAGTAACTATAAGCCCTGAACCAAACTTGCATGGATGATGCATCTAGGGATGGACACCACCAAACTTGCTTAGGCTGCTGGATCTGACCTATATTTTCATTCCCAAGTAATTATAAGCCCTGCCTGAACCAAACTTGCATGGATGATGCATCTAAGGATGGAAACTTCCAGACTTGCTTCGGATGCTGGATCTGACCTACACTCTTATTCCCAAGTATCTTTAAGCCTAGTGCTGGGTATTGGCCCTAGATTTCGTATTGCGATATATTGCGATATTTTAAACTGTATTGCGATATGTATTGCAATATTTTCAATGTGATAAATATGGCATTTTCTTACTATATTTACTTTAATTTACGTGTAGAATGTACATAACTATGATAAGTAACCAACACAAAAAAAATCTGGTTGATTTCATTAGAGTTATGCTCTGAAATGTTCCCACAAAACAACTTCTGACTTACTGCAAGGCTTAATAACAAACTTTCATTGGTCCATTTTTACACATAATGACAAAATTCCTTAATCTAAAAATATTGCCAATATATCGATATTACAAAATCGTATTGCGATACGATATTTTTTGTCATTGTATTGCAATATATTGAAATATCGATATTATTGCCCAGCCCTATTTAAGCCCTACCTGAACCAAACTTGCATTGATGATGCATCTGGGGATGAACACTACCAGACTTGCTTCGGATGCTGGATCTGACCTATGTTTTTCTTCCCAGGTAACTATAAGCCCTACCTGAGCCAAACTTGTATGGAAGATGCATCTAGGGATGGAAA